CTTCAATGCCATTGTGTCGATATGATGAGATGCTGACAGGATGGGGAAGCAGTTATCTATGGATGAATTTGCCTATTCATGTACAACTGTATGCATAAGAGAGAGGTCAGTAAATAAGGAAATTAACACAATGAGTAAGTGAATAGTGAGAGCAGCAGCTAATCTGGAGCAAGTAGCAAGATTTTCTTTAGGAATTTGAATTTTTTCCATTATAAGATCATCTACATGAGATAACTTGAATGTGCAGCACAACCCTACTCCTCCACTAGGGAGATAGTTTCCCTGGACAGACTCTGGCTGTGACCCAGGAGATGGAGTAGTTCTCCATCCTGCTTTCAATTGTAGATAAATTATTTAATCTATGTATTAGAATTTTCCTGTCTTCGTATAGGGCAGGTTTCAAGCCACGTGTCTGCCTCTGGAAAACCATGACAAGTGAGCGTGAGGAACACCAATAGAAGCAATCTATTGTTGTTATTACCTACTGTGCAGATGTTTTCCAAAAATTAGCATAGTACATTGAAATAATACTCGCTCTCATTCCAGTGTTAACATAACTGAGTCTCGTCATGTCACTTTCCCCTACTCCCTGTGTGTGTGTGAAGTGGGTACTGTTCCCCATGTGTGTGCGGGGGCACATTTCCCAACATTTCCCAAGCAAGGGAAGTGGCATAATCTGTACAGTTGTCAGCCAGCTGACGTTCTCATTTTCTAGCTCAATAACATAGGCTACACTTGGTCACAATGACTGACAGATGAACATCTTGGTAGCTTATTCCCTGGATCCCTTTGTTCCCTATGCTCAGCCATTTTAAGCAAAATAAAATGCAGTTCTAGTCAATTCCATGTGCTGATACACTCTGCTCAACCTCTTTCAAGACCTTGTTTTAAATTGCATCACAAATAATGTATCATTTCTTCCAGCTCAAAATGTGCATTACTTCATTCAGATCCATTAGTCTAACATTCAAGATACATCCTGATGGTGATTTTTTTCTGAAATGAGTGAGTTAATATCTGCTGTTTACTGTGATAGCTTGGGAGAAATGAATGCTCTCTGTGGTAAACTCATTGCTGCTCGTCTTAAATTATCATTTAAGTACAAACCTTATAAAGTTCTTGTGAGATTTTTTCCTTTTTCCAGCTAGTTAACTTTCAAAATTTGAACACCCACAATGTCTGGAGAGATTTCCTGTTTGGTTAGGTGAAGTTGAACAGCCATGAAATGTAGCAGGTGAGTCCTGATGTCTTCAATTTAGCAACAAAAATTATATAGCATGGTTGGCAGCAGAGCTGCAGGCTTTTATGCTGTCCAGCTTCAGATCTACATAGGTGGAGACTTGAACACTGAGAGGAAAAGAGAGCTCAGTCCTTTCTTACACTTGCCTATGCCATCAAGGGACATATCTGAACATCCTGAAATAGGACACTAACACAAAGTTTCTACTCAAAGTGATAAATGATCGTCAGAGGCCAACTCAACCACCTTTCCCACTGCCTCTTTCTCCTTGACCCAGATATATCCATCCCTTGCAGAAGAGGGTCCAACTAGATCCTGAATATCCCTGCGGATTCTCCACTACTCCAAGGCAATTCATCCAGTTATTTTCCACCTTTTCAGATTTTCCTCCTATCTGACTTGAAATTCCTTTGCAGCAATTAAAGTCCTTAGTCCTTATTTCATTCCCAGTGGATACAGAAAATTTAAATCCTTTTCTCTCTGTGATGTCTATGTGCTTGAAAATGGTTACCATGTCTTCTCCAGATGAAGTCACCTCATTCAGTCTTGTGCTGTGTTTTGGAAACCTTTGATGAAAAGCCTGAAGGACCTGGGGTATTGTCTGTTGCTCAGGTACCTGAGTGGAGGGGCAGCCAGCACTGAGTGCAGGCAGCTGTCAGTGTAGATCTCCATAGCCAGATTTTAATGATTTTGACTTAGATTGCCCATTGTGCTGCATCAGTTGTGTCAGGGGTTTCAGTGAAGAGGACACTTATTAACAAAGTAAGAGGTGGGAACTAAACAGCTGAAAAATAGTCATGGCTTTAACACACTGCCAAGTGCACGCTGTATCTGAAATTATTACT